ATGCAGATTTTTTGGCGGGAAAGCGATCTTGGGTTATACTACATGAGCTGAGGGGCCGAAACTTTGTAGGGATATTCCTGTGCATTTACTAGCTAAAGATTTCAAATTCAGCCTCCAGGTATGCATAGTACTCACGCAAGGGCGTATGAAAGTTTTAGAGGGGAAATTGCTAACTCGGGTACCAGGAAAGCAAGAAAGCTGAAATTTTGGAGGAATGTTCCCTATCCAACTGCAACTCAAATATTTCAAATTCAGCCCTAAACCATGCATGTTACTCACGTAAGGGCATATAGAAGTTTCTGCAGGAAAATTACTAACTCGGCAACCAGATGAGCTAGAAGGCTGAAATTTCAGGCAGATGTTCCATGTCCACGTGTAATTTAAAAATGTCAAATCTAGCTTTCCAAGCATGCGGAGTACCCAAGTACGAGTACGTGAAGGTTTTAGCGAGAAAGCTGCTAACTCGGTAACCAGAAAAGCTGGAAGTGTTCCCTGTCCAAGTACAGCTCAAGTATTTCAAATTCAGCCTTGAGGTATGCGTGGTTCTTACGTATGGGCACTTAAAGTATTGACGAAAAAATTTCTCACTGAACAACTAGGTTACTCTTAAAAAACGACTGTTAAATGAAAATTCTGCATTTACTTTGCAAAATTTATGGTGATTTATGCTAGTGACCGCAACAGGTAGGTGTAAAGCAACAGCACATTCGTACAGTTAATAACCCGAGTAATTCAAGCCCGGTGCAAAAACGCATGATCGCACGGGCCCGCCCGGTGTTCAAGCCCGGGTTTTTTCTTGAAGAGCGAGTGTCGCTGGAAAATCATGCTTGAGAAGCAAAAGTCTACGAGTAAAGAAAGAGAGCACTGAGTAATTGTTTTTGCTTTTTTTCTTTATTAGCGTGAAATTAGCAGAAAACTTATTAGCAAATGTGGAACTTGTTAGTATTTTTTATTAGCAACATCCTTGACATTTATATAAATTAGGAAGTTCATGTGGTCACCGCCTACGGCGTTTACAGCATTTGCAGCTTGACACTGCTGCAAATTTTATTAGATTTAAGCCCTATTCTTTCTCCTTCGTGACTGTGAGCGAGAATTACCGACCACAGCGATCAGGAAAGCAGAAATAGGTAGAGGAATGCAGTGTAGCACTTCTCTACGAAAAAAAAAAAGAAACTAAAAAGCAGGCAAACAAATGTGCGGTTGAAAATGAAGGCAAATTGTTCATACGATCAAAATAATTTCAGAAAGGGAACTGTGCCAACGACGTGTTGATGCGCAACGATAAAGTAACTGTATTACCAAAGTGCCAAGGCGTGAAGCAAAAACTACTCGTATTTTATTATGTGTCGTAGGTGAGGAAGGATGAAGCACAAGTAGAAAAAGAGAGTTCGCTTCGCATCAAAATGTGAAACGAGTCTTTGAAAAATTTGCAGTACCAATTTACTCTATTTCGAAACTGTTAAATTACCTCGTATATGGACTGAAATCATAGTTTACTACAGGAAGTTCTACAAGCCTTTAGTGAGTGACACAGTTGGGAACTGTGTTTCAAAAATATTAGCTTTGTATTTAGAAACCGAAATGTCTGTACAGATGCACATATAGACATAATATCGTTTATAATGTCTTTATGGCTTACGTAAATGTGCGCAAAAAGTGACACGTGCATTAGTTCAGTTTAAAAATCTTTAAAAAACAATCATGGATTTCCCAAATTTTGTTTTGAATATGTGTTCACTTCTGGAGGGATTTTCTGATATGAAATTTATAACATTAACAAAACAAAGCAGATACTCTCCACGCGATTTACCAAAATGTTCCTATGCTGCGAGTTTGTCGTATCAGATCACCGAGCTTGCTGTTTCCAGTTGTTCCAAGTCATCTTCCCCATCCAGTACGCTGCTTCTTTGCAAGTCATCCAAAAAGATATAATATAAAAATGCAAATGTTATGGGAGATGTAAAATTTGAAGATGACCAAAAAAGTGTTGAGATGGCGGTGGAGAGGAAGAGAAAGGGTCTCTCGCAGCTATTCGATGTCGCGAAATTGATGCCCTCTTTGCTCTGCGTAATATTTATTTGTTACTTGAAAAGAGAATTCAGTGGGCAGTGGGCATCGGCTTTAAGCAGTTACATGTCGAAGAACGCGGTCACGACTGGCAAATCACGACACGAGGCATTTGCTGGGAAATATATCTGCTAGCAGGGCGGAGCTCAAGACTCTAGTCATACACCAGTTAGGCATCGTCAGTTCTATCCCTGCTAAAATTTGAAGCTTATACTTATCTGACAGGTTTCAAGACAATGGGCGTTTTGGACGATGTTGTTGTTTGACAGATAAATGGAATTTGTTTACAAAGCAAATAATGACTTATTTACAGAATATGTAATCGTTAATCACAGGGTGTACAAACTGGAATTAAAATTTGTTTTTTGGAAACAATAGAAAATAAGCATTTTCTGACTGCACAAAATGTAAACCAACAAAAAAAGCAAACAAGATAAATATATATAAAAATAAAATAGACATACACAAAAATATACGTATGCAAAAATTAAATAAAATTTTTTTGTTCTGCATATTAATGGAATCTTTGTACCTGTTACACAGTATAATTGCTTAATACCAACTCAAATAGATGGAACGATTGCCGGAAATCGTATGGAAATTGTTTAGGAAGCGAACATAGAGATTTGTGCACTTCAGGATCCATAGCTGCATTCGGTCTGCAGAAGCATCCCAGTAACATCACTCACAGGGAATACCCACACTGAGTGCCGAGCGATCGTGGTATTTTTGACACGCGATATGTCCATTTTTATGCGTTCTTGCATATATGCAAATTGCAAAAAGCACATTGGGAAGAGGCTTTCTGTGTGTGTGTGTGTATGTGTGTGTGTGTCTGTGTGTGTATGTGTGTGTATGTGTGTGTGTGTGTGTGTGTGTGTGTGCCTATGCGTTTGCACTTTTTGTCACCCACTTCAACTCGAGAAACAATAAATGGCCAACGCACGGGCTGCCCGTGCGAAGATGCGTTTTTTGCAGAGTTCCCCGCAG